GTATCTATGAGCAAGCAAGCTCACAGGTCAAGTTGTCTTGCAGGCACAACCACAGTGATGCGAATAGCTGCTTTGCATTGGCTACTGCTCAAAAGCATTGAACATATCCCACCAGGAAGTGAGAAGGTGAGACCACAGTTATGACACTGAATCTTCAGTTGCCGTCATTCTAGGCTCAATAACACTGAACTCCAGTACCAGATCCCGACCTTGTCTGTCACAATTTTGCCATTACAGTTTTGAGAAGGGCAATGGACAAATCAACACGGAGAACAAGGTAAACTTTGCCATGTGACAAAAAAAGGTAGACTGCGTGTCATAGTGTAAAATGGGTGATATTCTGTTTTACAGCACTCCCCATTTTTATTCCCATTGAACTCAGCAGACAAGTGGTCTTGTAGTTGATTGGATGGAGAATAAATGGTCGGATGAATGGAGACGATGGGTGGAGAGAGGGGCTGTATAGATAGTTCAACAGAATGAGGGAGAGCTCCAATGATGCTGGGTAAGGGTGGGCGGAGAGCATACTAAAAGAGTGTGGAAGGGTGAAGGGACAGGATATTTGCTGGGAGTGAGTGGGCGGGAAAGGGAATGCAGCTACTGTGTTATATTTTTCCTATAACCAGCTCCTCACCTCCCTCTCCCCAACAATGTAGCTGCTTTTCCCTCAACACAACACCACCCTTTGAAAAGGAAAAGACACAGAGAGAGAAGCAAAATCAACTAAGAGGGCAGGCGTAGAAGAGAAGAAAGGAATAAAATTGAAGAGGACGAACTGACAGCTCTGAGCTATTGGAGATAGTCAAAATGCATAGCTTCTCCAACTTATTGAACAATAAGCCATTTTCTGTTGGTGTATAAAAAACATCAAAAAACTGTAACATAATAAATGTCATTATATTAAAGCAAAGCATACAAAATTTGTGTAGTCATAACAGTGAACCTAAACAAAACATTCTCATTCCAGTGATAAATATGTCAGAGAGGTTTTGAATACGTGGAGAGTAATCAGCTTGCTGTTGAGACTTCTTTTTTCTTTTGACTAAAGCCCACCGTCTACCTTCAATCTTCAATCATAGAGTCATACAGCATGGAAACAGACCCTTCTGTCCAACCAATCTATGCCGACCATAATCTCAAACTAAACTAGTCCCACCTGCCTGCACTTGACACATATCCGTCCAAACATTTCTTATTCATGAATTTATCTAAATGCCTTTTAAACATTGGAACTGTATCCACATCTACTTCCCCTGAAAGTTATTCCACAGATGAATCACTCTCTGTTTAAAAAGTGTTGCCTCTCATGTCCTTTTTAAATCTTTCTCCTCTCACCTTAAACAAATGCCCCCAAGTCTTGAAATCCCCCATCTTAGGGAAAAGACATCTGCCATTCACCTTATCTATGCCTCTCACGATTTTATAAAGCTCTATAAAGGTCACCCTTCAATCTCCTACACTTCAGTGAACCCTCTCCAGCTTGATTACATCCTTCTTATAACAGTGTATGTGTCCCCTTGGGTCATCTTCCTTCAATGTCAAATAGTCAGTTCTACCTCTCACTTAAATGGCACAATCGCCCTGTCTCCATGCTGTCCTCTCCAGTTTGATTCTATCCGTAGATCTCTCCCAATCCTATAGCCAGTGTACTTCCGTCACACACTATTCCCAAATCCATGAAGCTACAATCCTTCCTATACCTGGAGTTGTACAAACCTAAACCCTGATTTCTCCAGCATTTGATAATTGACATAAACATCTAGTAACCACATCAGTTTAGACCACTTTCACAAAGGGAGTAGCTGACCAGTGGTCTTAAAGGGGCAGGTATCATTAAAAACAATCCTTTAAAGCTGTGCTCCAGATCACAAATAACCTCTCCAGGTCTCAAACAACCAACGAACAATAATGAGGGAAATCAGTGAGCTCTGCAGAAGGGTATGATTTTGCATAAAATGAGCAGTGTTATTCAGGAACAGGTTCATTATTGTCAAATCTTCCATTTCCCTCGTGGTTTGAATGAGCTTGGTTGGAAGGCTGAATGGAGGTTTATATCCCAAATACTTTCTGCTACCAAATGAAGATTCTTCGAACATTTCAGCCGAAATTTTCTTCCTTCTTACAACTCTCTCGTGTATTTTTTAAATTAGTTACCTGATGAATCAGGACTCGCCCTGCATACTTCACTTAGAAGCAGAAGCAACAGACATCAAACCCCTCGACTCAAACACAATTAACTGAGAAACCAAAAAAAAAGGGAAATACTGCAGATGCCAAGATAAAAACAAAAGATGCTGTAAACACACAACAGGCCCGAAAAGAAGGGGAGGTAAGGACAGGTCTATGAAGGACATGACTTCTAATATGAACTCCAGCTTCCTCTCCCTGAGGATGTTACCTGACCTGCGGGATCTTTGTAGCATTTTCTGTCTTAATGTAAATTCAAATTCTCCAATGCACAATATGGCCTAAAAATGCAAATTAAAAGCACACAGGTGAGAGTTTCTTTCTTTTAAAGAAGGACAACAATCCTTTAGATTTTTCCATTTTCTTTGGCGAACTGATACTAAGAAAAGTGCATGTCCTTGGAGTCTGGAAAATATTGCTTGATCTTTGAAACCTTGAAGTGCTCCCTGACAGCATAAATATATCCTTGTCCACAGCCTGAAGAGTCCCAGATTACTATAGCAACAGAACTAGCAAAGCAGAAGATATAAACTACTCCATTTGATCAAAGAATATTGACATACATGCGTTGCAGTTGAAATATTTTCTTAGATGCCTCTGGGAAAACCATTACCACAAAAATGTTCAGAAACCAAAAAAAGCGTAGCATCTTAAAAAGGCTTCATAAGTTACCTATTCCAGTAGGAAACGTAGTACTGTTTTCATGTTGGAGTTGCCACGATTTGTTGCTAACTGTGTTATTTGTCGTTCGTGTGATAAGGTCCCCCATCGGCATGGCCCATGTTGTCACTCATCTCCAATCCCCTTCATGAAGCTGCTGATAAGCCATGAGGTGTCGGTAGGTATATACACACACACACACACGCACATGGGATTTGAAGATTTTAATCCAATGACAGTGAAGTATCAGGAATACATAAGGGGAAGGTGATGGCTGAGCGGTATTATCGCTAAACGATTAATCCAGAAACTCAGCTAATGTTCAGGGGACCCGAGTTCAAATCCTGCTACGGTAGATGGTGGAATTTGGAGTTGAATAATACAAAAAAAAAATCCAGAATTAAGAATCTACTGATGAAGCCATTGTTGATGGTCAAGGAAAAGATAGCAAACCATCTGGCTCATTAAATATTCCTGAGGGAAGGAAAATCTGCCCTCCTCACCTGGTCTGGCCTACACATGCCTCCAGGCCACGCAACAATGTGGTTGACTCTCAACTGCCCTCCGAGATGGCCCAGCAAGCCACTCAGTTCAAGGGCAGCTTGGGATGAACAATAAATGCTGGCCGGCCAGAGATGCCCATATCCCGCTAGTGGATTAAAAATATGCAGTTTCAAGTCAGTACTTACAGATAATGGTGTTCCCACACATCTGTTTCCCCTGCCCTTCTACATGGTAGAAGTGGCGAGTTTGGTAGATACTGCTGAAAGAACGTTAGCGAGTTGCTGCAGTGTACTTTATAGATGATACACACTGCAATAGTAGAGTGTGAATGCTTAAGGTGGAGAATGGGGATGCTAATCAAAGCAATCCGATTTGCTCTGGTCGGTAGGGTGCTTCTGGAATATTGCTGGAGTGGCATTCACCCAGACAGGTGGAGTATACTCCATCACACGCCTGACTTATGCCTTCTAAGTGGTGGCCAAACTTTGATGAGTCATTTGCTGTAGAATTCCCAACTTCTGACCTACTCTCGTAGCCTCATTATTTGTGGTTGCTCCAGTTAGGGATCTAGTCAATGTTATCCCCAGGATATTGTGGGGGGGAGGTGGGAGTCGGTGCTGGTACAACGTCAAGGGGCGAGAAAGCATCCTATCCAGATGCATCACAGTTTGGTATGGCAACTACTCTGCCCAAGACTGCAAGAAATTATAGAGAGTTGTGAACGCAGCGCAATCCATCACACAAAACAGCCTTCCTTCCATTGACTCCATCTATTCTTCCCGCTGCCTCCGGAAAGCGGCCAATATAATCAAAGATACCTGGCACCCCAATTATACTCTCTTCCTTCAGGCAGAAGATACAGAAGTTCGAAAACACACACCAACAGAATCAACAGCTTTCTCCCTGGTGTCATCAGACTTACGAATGGATTTCTCCTATATTAAAGATCTTTCTCTGCACCTTCTCTGTAGTTGTAACACTATATTCTGCATTCTGTTCTATTACCCGGATACTTATTTATGATTTGCCTGGATAGCACCCAAAACAATACTTATCACTGTATCTCTGAACATAGAGTCATAGAGCACAGAAACAGACTCTTCTGCCCAATCTTGTTGGAGATAGTCTTTGTTTGGCATTCGTGTGGCATAAATGTTAATTGCCACTTATCAGCTAAAGATTTGTTATCCAGGTCTTGCTGCATAAAGCTGTCGGTGATTTCAGAGGATGTATTGCATGTGGTACTTGCTATCACATATGGCACACAAGGCAGATGCATTTAAAGGAAAACTAGAGAAATATCTCAAGGAGAAAAGGAGAATAAGGTTGTGCTGCAGAAATTTAGCAGGTCTGGCAGTATTGGTGGAGAGAGAAACAGAGTTAACATTTCAAGTCTGGTATGATGCTGCCAGATTTCCTGAGTTTATCCAGCATTCTCTGCTTTGTTTCAGACTTCCAGCATCCACTGTGTTTTGCTCTGATTATTATTTTCCAGGTTATGCTGACAAGGTGGGTGGGAGGAAACTCAGGTACTGCATAAACACAAGCCTGGACCACTTGGGCCGAATGGCCCGTTCTTGTGCTGTATGTTCGAGTGCTGAACAAGTTTCTGAAGTATGTGTCCAGCCCTTGCCCTACAAGTCCGTTACCTTCTTTTTAGATTTGAAGACGTTGCATCGGAAAATGTTGCTGGAACCATCCCTGGCTATGTAACTGAAGATCTTGAGGTCTTGGGAGTCATGGGACACATAGAATATCCTGTGAGGAAAGAAGGTACAGAAAGCTGGTTAGGATAATTGCAAGCTATATCAAAAAGCTGCTAAATATCATGCGGTAGTTTGAGTTCTCACATGGTACAGTATTGAGGAGCTATACAGCAGGTGCGAGGGAAACACTGCTGATTGTTGACACACCATATATCCTGGAGAGCTAATCTAATCTCACGTAGTACAGACTAAAGGATTGATGGAGAAAGAAGCAGAGTTGACATTTCAGACTGTGATCCTTCACTGGAACACTTGTACAGATGGAACATGACCTGCCTAGTATTTCCAGCACTTTGTGTGTTTTTATTTCAGATATCCTACTTCTGTAGTAATTTTGAGGTGGGGAGGTGGTGGTTTTACCAATATTGAGAGGGTTTGATTGTCCTCTCGTTGTCACTGGAATGTCTTCATTTACGTGACATGTAACACAAGGTTACAGTCCAACGGGTTTATTTGAAATCACAAGCTTTTGGAGCATGACCCCTTTGTCAGGAGGACTCATTTACGTGCGTCTGCAAATCAACAGGTTAAAATGAATCCTCAAGAGCCAAAGACCTAAAAATACACAGCTTAATGGAAAAATAAAAAAAAGAGCAACTTTTAAAGCAAGTTGTTAAAACAGCACAAAAACGATTAGCTGCAGCATACTGAGAGTGCACTGAAATACCCAGCGCCATCCACTTTCAAAAATAATCACATCCTTTTATTAACCGCACATTATAAAATATCCATGTATGTCTTATCACATTAGTTTTGTGGAAAAGCCTACTTTTTTTCTCAAGTGCCCTTAGAAACATCAAGCTCGTTTCCAAAAGAGTCTTCAAAATAATTGTGTTGACCGTGTCTATTAAGTCAAATGTTTGAGAAAAACCTGAAACATTTGACGTTACATTAAAATAAATTGATGCTGAATGGCTTTTAAATTCCAAAATAAATTTGTGTGTATGTGCGAGGGTGGGAGAGAGAGAGTGCATGCGAGTGCGAGAATGTATTTGCAAATGAAACAATATACAGTAATTCCAAAGTCCCAATTGTGCTGGATTTTCGATTTTCAGAATGAATGGTGCATATGCCTTCTTTAGTTAGTGCTTTACATACTAGCTTTTACACTTGTGTCTACTGGTCTACAAATCTGTCATTCAGTAGAACACACACATCTATAAGAATGGACAAGGTGAACGAATGTGTGTATGTTTGATTTATTATTGTCACATGTATCAAGATGCAGTGAAAAGTATTCTTTTTCCTTGCAATCCAGGCAAATCATGCCTTACACAAGTACATCAGGGTACTAGAACAGAATACAGAATATAGTGTTACAGCTGCAGAGAAGGTGCAGAGAAAGATCAACTTTAATATAGGAGAAATCCATTCATAAGTCTGATAACAGCAGGGAAGAAGCTGTTCTTGAATCTGTTGGTACGTGTTTCCAAACTTTTGTCTCTTCTGCTTGTAGGAAAAGGGTGGAAGAGAGTATAACAGGGGCGAGAGTGGTCCTTGATTATGTTGGATGCTTTCTGAAGGCAGAAAGTGTAGACTGAATCAATGGAAGGAAGGCTGGTTTGCGTGATGGACCAGTATCTGGTGAAAACAGGTACACAGGGTGAAAGTGCTTCACATCAGAAGTATAGGTCCGAATCTTGTCAGAAATCAGGTAACAAGTTTCATGCCAGGATTCTCTCTCCTCGAGGCTAAGCATGCTTTCTCACACCATTATCCCAGTATACCTCACTAACCAGTTATCATAACCCTATGGCACTCCACTTGTGCAATGCTAATCCAATTCTCCCACTCATCACTGCCAGGACATCTCGGGATCCCTGGCACCAATTAAAAGGTTCTGCACCTGGTAACGCACTGCCCTGCAGAATTCACGACATTTGCCCTGGACATGGCAAACAAGGGGAAACTCGATGTCCATCACAAACTTGGGGGAAGAGTGACGCAGAGGAAGTCTGTCCTTTTCCCCCCAGGACCAACAGAGGGAGTTATGAGATAACAAGGTGGTGTACAGCTGGATGAACACAGCAGGCCAAGCAGCATCATAGGAGCAGGAAGGCTGACGTTTCGGGCCTAGACCCTTCATATGACACCATATACCGCCAGCCTGGTCTGAGGTTACCATCTGGGTCAGTGGAGTCACCACAGCTCAGAGCTACAAAAAAAGGGTCAATGACCTCCTCCATTCTGCCAGGGTTAAGTGCCGCAATCCTCTCACTGATACCTCACAGGCCAATGGGGTCCACTGTAGGGTAGGCTCCCTCCATCCCAGCTGCAGAAGCCATAACTGTGCTGAAACTTAGTGGGACAGGAAGAAGCAATGGCTCTCCTAACTGCTCCTCCAAAAGACTTTTCTCTGCGAGGTTCACTTCTGATAGTCAAGCCCAAGAGACAGACCCAAACTGTGATTTGAGGAGAAGCACCTCAGCATTTCCTTTCATTTTTCTTGTGGGGGCTACTTTTCTCTGACTAACATTTTTATTTGCATCAGATATAAATTATCTGTGGAAATATTCTCTTCACAGGTTTGGAGGCTTTTTAAAAAATGCTTTGTCAAAATTGAGCCTATGCAACTTACATGGTGAGCTACTTGAGTTACATAATATCTAGAGAATCATACGAAAAAACCAAGAGGCAAGTTATATCCATTACTACAGACAGCCAGCTCACTCAATAAAAGAAAAAAAAAGAAGTTTGAATGTTGGAGATGAGGTTCAAGTTCAGTATCCACAGATTTCAACAGCACCCCCCACCCCCATCATATCCATCCAATCCTGTTGCCCTGGCCTCCCTGGCCGAGGGGCACCAAAGTGGGCATTTTTAACATGGCTCAGGCCACATGCCATCACTAACTGGGCAGTAGGATGACACTCTTTGCCGATCAGCAACCCAATGATTAAAATTTACCCATGATAGATCACAGATTAGAATGAGATTTGTGGGAGTGAAGAACATTGCACGTTTTACATTCAAGGAAAACATAATAACTTTCAAAAACACAATTTGTCCTTGATCAGTGCTGGACAATAAGACAATAAAAAAAGCATCTAGGTCTACCATACTGGCATTTCCAGCCTGTGTTCCAGGAAGAATTTGCCCACAGGACATCATTACATCTTAAGAACAGGATTAATGTTAAGTGACATTGTGAAATTACAGCGGTCTAATGAAAGCAGAACTGTACACAAACATATACCACAGGCCTAAGAGGCTGAGGGATGCAAACTGGCACAAGGGAATAATGTTGCACTTTTACATGTCCACGGGAAATGATTCCAGCACCCTATATCTGGTTGCTGCAGTAGCAGAACCAGTGACTGAACAGACACAAATAAGTGCTCCCAACCAACCCTGAGGTTATAGTTTGTACAACTCCAATCATTACTGTACATGAATGGCTCACTGGGATAAAGAGAGGTACCAATTATGACCAGAGGGGAGCCAGAAATGCAGCAGGTCCATGAAATTCTGATGGCCCCAGCATTAATTACCAGAAGCTTGCTCTGAATGAAATAGGGAAAGACAGGGGCAGAAAGAAAGACATGCATTTATGCAGTGCCTGGATATACCAAAATGCTTTACAGCCGATCATGCAATCTTCATACATGGTCACTGTTGTGATGTGGGAGATGCTGCAGCTAATTTATGCACAGTAAATTTCCACATTTGATAGTGATCAGATAATCCCTTTGAGATATTAAGGCATCAACGTTGACTAAGACACTGGGATCAACTCCCTTGCTTTTCTTCACGATGGGATCTCTGACTTTAACCAGAAGGCAGATGATTTAATGTCTTAGCTGAAGATCAGCACCTCCAACAATGCAGCACCCCTTCAGTGTTACACCAGAATATCAGTCTAGAATATAATGCTCAAATTCTGGGGTGGAATGTGAACCCACAAACTTACGACGCAGAGGTGCAAGTGCTACCAACCACGCCAGCGATAATGTGGAGCTGGAACAGTAATTCAGATGTCTGGTTATCTTCGGGACTCCTTCAACGGTGACCACATCAACAGTCCCATGACGTGGTCACCACTTGCTTTGCGGCCGACCCCAGATATCAAACCACAGTATTGTTTCATCACGAAGTCAGCTAGTGGAGGTGTGAACAGTCTGGATGTCAAACACTTATAACTCTGCAACGTGCATTTTATGGGTCCTGACAGGCCTGACTTCCAGTCAAGTCAGGAACATGCCAAAGCAGCTCACAGGACCAACAGGAGATGGAGGGAATGGCTGCCAATTCCAGGGTGGCCTTGTTGAGGAGCAGGGAACTGCATGTCATGGAACCTTCGGAAGCCAGAGAAAGGGCCTCAGCTTCAGGCCCACAGGCAGTACTGTTCAACAATTATCCCCTTGAAGCTCTGTCTCACTTCAGTTACTGGGTCTCTTTCCCCTTGCTCTCTGTAGGAGCAGGTTAAATCAGGAGCTACCTGCCTTTCTGACACACTGCCAACCTTTTTAGGAGTGGGTTTGCTGGTTGACCTTTGCCTCAACTTTGTCAAAACTGGAGGTGGGTGGTCTGGAGGCAGCTTGGGAGTTGGTCTCAGATCTTTCTTTCCCCTCCACTTTAGCATCTGACCTGAACCCAACCCATCAGTTTTGTGGGCAAAAATTAAGTACAGTGGGAGTATTTTCTTACAGTCTCTCCAGTCGCCTGTATGTTAATGACAAATTAAACAAAACTAAACAGTTGACATTTATAGTGGTTAATGTAGGAAAGTGACCCAAAAAGTGTTTCACAAGAGTATTACCAAACACACATTGGCTGGCTATTAGGTTAAAATCTCATTCAGGAATATATTAAAAGGTGGAAAGTACTGCAAAGGCAGACACGTTTAAAGGAGAGACTTCTGATGTTATTATGGATGGCTCAACAGGGGAGGAAGGAAGTGGGAGAGGCACAAGAGTTTGAAGCTAGAAGAATGCAGAGTTCTTGGAAGTTTGTAAGGATGGAGGCAGATAGAGGTGGGCAAGACCATCAATT